ACTGAGACGAAAGTATTGTTGAAGACATCGAAAAGCGTAGGCACAAGCAGACGATCCCAAACAAATAAGTGAAAGACCTAGTTAATCAAGAGGATGATGATAGCTGAAGAGAGATAGACTATTCTTTGATCAGAAATGCGACTCCTTATGTGCTCCCACGTAAAATAAAACAGCATAACTACACGAATGAAAAATTGCATGGAAGTGCCCATTTTTATTCAAAAAAGCGATCAGCTAACCCACATGAACTGAGATGTTCATGATCACCCAATCACATCGAATCGATTGCTATTCCAGTACTTTCCTGAACTCTGGAGTTGTGATTTTCCGCAAGCGTTGATAAGCCTGATGATGGGCATGGAGCACATATGACCTTTGAAGTACGGCTGGATCATCCAGCACCGACTCTGACATCGCAGTTGAGACCACTGACAACAATCCTATCGTGTTCCTGAGTAGTATACATCTAAAGGAAAGGATAGAGGTGCGGGTTATAATGAGAAGATTCATGAACAAGTGGAAAAAATTGGGTAAGTTAACAAAAATACCATGAAAGTGTCCTTTGATTAGACCAGTTAAAAGGAAGATAGACGTGCTTTCTTTCTATGTTAACCAGTTTTACTTGCTGAAAACACAATGGCACTACTTTGTAGTAGATAACATGGGCGAGGAGAACGAATTCTAACAATTATGAGAGAAAGGAGCTAATGGATGTTTGCACTTCCAATTCTTTACTCTGACACTTTAACGGCCCGTTCTCACTGGATGTGCGTGCCCCAGCATAATCACCATTTACCGGAGACTTGCTGGTTGAGCCACTGTGGTTTCCTGGAATCCTGAGGTTAGCCTAACCAAAGCCTGCCCCAAGTCTTCACCACCACAGGCAGTTGCAGGCCTTGTGGATCAGTGGAAACTTTGCCACCATGCGACGTTGATACCAAGATGGTGGCGGTTCCTGGTACTGGCTTGCTCTTAGCTAGGTTTCCTGATGGAAACGCCGGACTTCTCAACTTGGTAGGCCTTGCCGAGGGGAGGAATCTCTTACATCGCAGTCCGGCACCCAGGAACACCTTCCAGCCACGATGAGGCGGTAAACCGTTGGGAGGCTTCCAATTCTACAGTTTCCAAGCAAGTTTTGCTACTTTTAACTAACCTTTCTTGGTGGATAGTTGAATCGAAGCTTTGCTTCTGTTCGCAAAGAGACTTGGGGAGCATTGCATTTCCTTTTAAGATATCCGTCAAAAAGTATTACCATCAAACCGGTGGCCATCCTGTAGTGCGATTAACACCCGTGAGATTTAGTTGCTGACGGTCCACCAGTTCTCGTTTATAGCGCATCATCTGTCAGGTCCACCTAATTTTCAATAGTTTGTTGTATGCGATAGTGTCAGGAATTTTCGATCACTCACATAGACCCACATCTCCGATTGGTTCGGTAGGTGCAATGGGTACCGATGCATTCTATCAGAGGAACTAAAGCACTGGTTCGATCCTGTTCCCAATATTCTCCTCCAATCCACGTGAGAACTCCTGGCTGGCTGTCTCCAAAATTGCACAGAGAATTGACTGGACCGGAATTGCACGACATTCAGAAATAGAAGACGAAATCCTCAAGTAGCAGCGAAACGACGGGCGAAACTTCGAGAACCATTGCGGTAGGCCAATGCGAGAAAAATGAATCGAAGGCAAGGAGTACGGGGATCCCCCCAGCTGATGTGATGACAGTTCATGTAAGAAATACTGGTAAATAAAAGTAGTAATTATAAATGTACACTTAATCATTTTTACGATCGACTACGACTGAAGACAAATGCATCCCCAATCTCTAAATGATTGATCAACGTTGAGCGAATTGTCGATTAGTCCATTTGTTAATTATTTTTTTAATCAATATCGGTACTACTGAAAAGAGCGCGTGTAGCGTAGCATGGGAGGCGCCCTATCGGTATAACTATTAGTTATCAAACAGCACATAAATGATGGGAAAATGCTTAATAAGGTGCGCATAAAACGCAAATCTGTCACACAATACAATGAACAGATGTAATGACAAAAGAAAACTAGAGATGGTCTCACGATCGACTTTCTATTAACATCGGCATTGATCAAATGATTTTTTGTGCTCCTCTTGAGCAACACGAGGTGTTATTTTATTCTCTACTACGATTAAGCAGACGTTTCGGTGGATCTCGCCTTCTTCAGAGCCTGGAATACCCAAACAAATACCTCCAGTTCCTTGTGGTCAATTTGATCTTTCCAGGCTCTGAGTTAGCGAAATCCGCCGGGAAGTCTGCTTCATCATGATACAGAATAAAGTAACACCCCGTGTCTACTCAACAAGAATGTAATTGGTTTGTTTCCTCATAGCATTCTAATAACGAATTTTACTTTTATGGTGAAGAATGGAAAAAATGTCTGGAAACCTACCGTTGCTCATGTGCTGATGTGAAAAGCAAAGTGGCCGAAAACTAAATCGCAAAGTCACACCTTAGACAAACAGCCGTCTATGGGCGTCTGTGACTCATGCCCACTTCGCGCGACCGAAAAAGACCTGCGCAAAATTTACGAGTTGCATAGGTGTCAAGCCAAACGATAGTGTGACTAAAGGTCTTTTCCATACCACCAATACCTGATGTTAGCTAGAACAATCATAATCTCGGAAGAGATAAATATTTTTGTCTGAATGCACAGAGACAGCAGTGTGTCTGTCAGTCCGGTTATTAATGCGTCGTTTTCTTTCTCAATAATCGCGAGGTTGTTGTATAGTATGCATTTACTTCCGTACAAAACACATGAAACACAACAGAAGCTGACATTTCAAAAGTATATCCTCACAGCCTTGAACGGTATCTTGGTAAAAAAAAAAAGATAAATAATAAAGTTCTCGACGTTGATCAATCCCTGAGGAATGGGACATGCATTCAACTTCGTTATGCATCGTTCGGTGGTGATTGAATGTATATCCAGCCTTTACAATGACTCGTGGTAGCCTACCGATGTAATGGGCCAGTGGTGCTATCCTCCTAGGCAAGTCTGCTACCAATTTGCCGACCCCAGAGAGATGGAGGGCTTTGTGGGTCATGGGCATGGGAATCGATTCCACGTGTGTGTTGCAGGGTGCCTGCGACCACTGAGCCACACGTACCCTTGCGGTGTATTGGTATGCAATTTAAATACTAGGCCAAACGCTTCAGTAACACATACTTGCTTACTTGAATATTTCGGTAGCCCATGTTTATTGGTTGTGCGGCGCCGGCGCAATTTCCGTTCTCTGGAGATTTGCTGGTTTAGCTATTGTATTTTCCTGGAATCCCGAGGTCTGCCTGGCTGAAGTCTGCCTCAGGTCTTCACCACTCCAGGCAGTCGCAACCCTTGTAGATCGGAGGGAGATTTGCCACCATGCGACTAGTTTGATATCAAGACGGTGGTCGATCCTGGTATTGGTTTACTTTTAGTTGAGCTTCCTGATGGAAACACTGGACACCTTCTCAGCTTGAGAGACCCTGCTGAGTGATGAACCCCCCGCTGTATATCGCAGCGAGACACCCAGGAGCACCTCCCAGTCACGATAAAGCGGTAAACCGTTGGGAGAGTCTGAAACTTAATCTGAGAAAAACGGAAGCAAAATATTTTATTGAAAGCTTTGGATACTCCAACGGAACATCGACTTGAAAAAGGATCTGCAAAATCTAGAAAGGTATCTAACAGAGGAACAGGAAAGAAAGCTAAATACACATTCGAGAATCGAATGAAAGAAGAGAAAAAGTAAAAGTACGGAATCGATCTGGTAGAACACTTAATTGCGACGATTTAAATAGGTAACAAATCAACAAAACATCGATTTTTATTAAGAGCTGTAACAATACTGGGCTTGGCTTCATTGTCAATCATAGACAAAGTCACATATTCACATAAACGCTAGGAAAGAGCTAAGAAAAAAAAATTACAGCTTACTTATTTCTCAGTCGAAAAGAATATGAGCCATTATAAGAGAATGTCGAGAAGTAGGAGGGCCTGATTTGGCAGCTGGCTTGGGTCAGTGATGATGTCGTAACGTAGTTTTCAACGAGTGTACTGGTTTCAAATCAAAGTAAAACACTGTGAAAAATCATCGTCAAGGAATCATGCAAACAGGTAGAAAGAACATTTTCACGAAAAGAAAGCGGTGAGTGTGCAAAGCTGTGTTTAATGTGATTGAAATCTTGGTTTAGCGTTTTCTTCGTTTGGTTATGGAGGTGTTTGACCGAGTGCGTTGCTGTCAACTTGGCCTCTCCAGGCTCTGTGGAAGGCGAAATCCGCCGAAACGTCAGCTTATTCGTGAATAAAGATTAAAAATAACATCTCGCATTTGCTCAACAAGAATGCGGAAAATTACTTGATCAATGCCGAGGTTAATAGAAGGTCGGTCGTGGGATTTTCGCGAAAGTCGCAGGTAGGAAGATTCCTTCTTGAAACTGTTACACCCAAAGACATTGCATCGGGCACACTGGTATTTTCTCCTTTCCGGAATCAACTTTGTTTTAGGACGAGTTTCCATTCGTCACTTACAGGAATGCGTAGAAAGGACACGGTAAGTTTGAACGAGTTTCGATAATGGTAAAAGTGATGTCTTAGCATCGAATGCTTTGGAATGTTTGTTTTCGTTATTTCCATGGAAATGCATCTAAGCTATCCTTATCTCCTTAGAGGAACCATTAGCGATACGCTGAGAAATTATGGATTGAGAGAGCAAAAAACAGTGGAACTAGCAAGCCTATTTTCAGATAACAATAAAAAAACACGTTCCTAACGAAATTTGTTTTCTCATACTTTGAATGATCATATAAAATCTCCAGCCGATATACCAGTACTTTGACTCCCTTAATTTCTTGATTCCTTTACATACACAACGAAATAACAGCGTCCAACTCGTTCATCAGTGCGTCATTGAAAATACGTCTCATCACTCATCACTGAACCTCAACGAAACCTCAATGAAATGTTCCATGACACAAGAAACACTACGTACGACTAAACGATCGCATAAGGTGATCGGGTATCTGCGTCAAATCCTCTCTCGACATTAACGGCACCAACACCGATGTCTTTCTTCCCAGTGGCGGATCCAGTGAATGCGCACCAGCCGATGCCGATCGGTCGTCTTTGTAGTCGTCCTTGGCGGCTAAAATATCGTAATTCCCTTGGAAAGGAAGCAACAGATATCACTTAAAGACTTTCGTGCAGAGTTAGCTTTTAATTGCAAGGATAAAAGCTTAGTAAAAAAATGGAATAGTCAGGTCTAGGAGTGTTTTTGAATAGTCCACTCCGTACCGACGGCATTGGTAGTACGGAAAGAACGGACAAGAGACATGAACGCCATTATTTTGGCCTATGTTTGCTTTTGCAAAATGAGGTATAAGATGAGAAGCAAGTTTCAGAATTTTTTTTCAAATTTAAAGCCCTTCTCATTCCAAAACTAGGGGTCTAACACCTGTATCAGAAAATACAACCAAAAACAAGCAAGTCAAACATTCCAGGAGGAATCCTTTCCAAATATGATGCCATTTGCTGGCTTTCTTTTATTTTTCAGTGCATTGAGTAGTTTTTTAAACCCACCGCCGTTTAACCTCTGTAATGATTATAATTGCCTTCTTGGATTGTCAAGCTAACACAAGGTTGATAAAGGTATTTCTAATATTTAGCATTTAGCTAATATTTCGACGTCTTCGTCTTTATCTAAGCTGACCATCCCAGTCGATGGCCCACAGTCGTTCAGTTTCGTTCGTTCATTCAAACACCACGCTAAATGCTGATCGGTAGTGAACTCTTTAAATCTCGAGATAGCCATGCTAACGTGCATCTAGGCCTTCACCGCAGGCATTTCTGGCATTCATAGAGCGTAGAATGGGTTTACTGTCTTATAGCTAAGATTTCCCAAGTAGAGTAATAATTTGCTAAAATTGCTCGTTTTATCTTCATTCACTATTATAACTTCATTGCAAGACATCTACAGTGGAATCATTAGAGCACTAGTAGCGCAGTGGTAGTGACGCCGTTAATCACGAACACGGTCCTGGTTCCACGCGGTCCCGTGCCCATAAACTCTCTCATTCCACTGGAATCGGTAAATTGGCATCAGAAATATGTGTGGAACACAGTTCATTTCTTAAAATTAAAGTAAGAGTATGCGGTGGGGAACGAACACGCTGTTGTCCTTTCCTAGTTAGGTCCTAGGCTGTAGTTATAATCACAATTTTAACCTATCATTTACTGCCTACTCTTTTTAGTGGTCCCACCATCAATACACCTGTGGTCCGGAGTTTTGCAAATATCTCAGCATCACTGATGTTATATTTCGCAATACACCCTGTCATTAAAAGCCTCAGCTTGACTGGGTTCGTTGCCGATTTGCGCTCCCCAGATCAATTCCGTTGACGGGTGATTGCTGATGGCAGAGATGGGCAGAACTAGCTGAGAGACATCCGAAACGATGGACACGTATAGTGTGGTGCTGAACGCGTTACTCTCCGGAAAGGAGAATAGGGAGTTCGTTCTCCACCGCATGCACCTGCGGTCGGGAGGTTTGGAAACATCTCAACATCACTGAAGTTATATTTCGCGATATACCCTGCCATTAAAAAGAGTAGGCAACATTATGATCTTATAAACTGATAAATAATAAGTTAAAGTAAGAGCGTTGTAACCCGGCTATTCCAGAACTCTAGAGAGAGAGAAAGAGAGCCGATTCCAAGAGCAGTAAACAACATACGTAAGAAGACGGTAAGCTTCAAGCAACAGCCGAACCCACCCCCGAAAATTTGGTACGCGTTCATGGATGATGGATCCAAGGTAGCAAATCGAATGCAAGTGCTCGTTCCGCATAATAGATGTGAAAACGGGTGTTGGAAAATAAAATAAACAAAACTGTAGTAGTGTTGCTATGGCATGGTCTTGGATTTCATCAAATGAGGGTGCAATCGAGCTTTCTGACCTGTATCGTCAATATCCAAGGACCACCTGGAGTTACTATAGTGCATTTCCATGAATTCCCAAAATAGTCGTTCAAGAATATCTACACTACTAGTAGTCATAACTATGTTTTTTATTTATATGATCTTATAAACTGATATTCTTAAGCTGATGCGAGGTTGGTATATGTCTTCGTTGTCGTTGTTGTTGTCTGTACACCAGCAGTCTCACTCGTAACAGCACGGCTCTGAGGAAGTCAGGAAAGTCGCCGAAACGTCAGTCATCGACCAACAGCACCAACAGCAACGACAACAACAACGACAACGAAGGCCTATACCAAGCTCGCATCAGCTTATGAAGATCAGTTTATAAGATTATATAAATAAGTATATCAACCACGCATGCCGGGCTTCATAGAAATCGGAATTTTTCGCTTTAATGAAAGCATGTTACTGTGCGTCCCAGAATCAACCGTTAATATCTCGAACGTCGCCGTTAGCACTTTTGTTACTTGCAGCCGGGTTAGCGCCAATTAGAAACGTATATCTATTCATTAAAGCTGTTTATATTGTTTATGGAGTGCAGAATAAAGAATGTTCATAGAATACAAAACGAAGAAGGAATACATGTTGATTGGTCATAGTGAGATTAACGGAAAGTCGCTTTTGAAATATTGTTATGCTCTGTGATAGCTGGTAATACGGACTTGTCAGGATGGACTATCCGGAAAAAAAACAAGTTGTTATCACCGGACAATCACTGTTATGACCAGCCAGAGTCTTCCTTTAAAGAGCGTCGCTGGGGAGATGGCCTCATTCGAGCAATACTTCACTAGAGAAGATCTGACTCAATATGAACTCGATGACGCCACATCGAGAAGACGAACACCTGTGGACCATCGACTAGGACCATCGGCTCTGATGAAGACGCAGACGTCGAAACGTTAGCCGCATTAAGGTATTTATCAACCTTGTGTAACCTTATTAAAGAAAGATTAAATATTGATTAGTGATATCGAGGTTAAAGAGAAGCCGACTCTGAAATGTTGTTTACAATTTTTATCGAACATAAGTAAGTAAATGCCTAAATGCTATAAAGCCATTTTTTAAATAACCTCCAACCACTTGGAAAAAATAGACGAAGATGTTTTCAGCAGTAACATTAATCAACAGGCATATTTTCAACATAAGGAGAGACAATGTTCTAAAGGAAAACTTACGACTGTCTCTCAACAGTGTCGTGATCACCTTGCACCCTAAAACCTTTATAAGATAGTATACCTAAGACAGAAACTTTCTGAGTTTGATGACTTTTGCCAAAATAACAGATACATTACATGGTCAATTAGCTCTATTGAGAACTACAGTATTACGCCCACTATCCTTACCGTAATCACATAGAAAACGAGGGACACCGAAGTCGAAATAATCAATAGAACGTTCATAAATTGTCTGTGAAAAAAGACGATTTCGACTTCGGTCATACCGAACTCTTCTTCTTTGGATCTCGGCGTAGTCCATGCCTACTGTAGCTCCCATTCATTACATACTGTAGATCGGTATTCCAAACAAGACCCACCTTGTTCGGCAAGAAACTGATCCCACATCGTGTCCACTACTTCTGTACAAATCAATACCCCCGAATGTATTGTCATCATCCGAAGCACAAAAACTCCATCCATTTTTATGAAATCACGCACGAACTGTAACGATGACGATAAACGACTAATTCAAAGACATGCTACCTACAAAGCTAAAGATAAAAGCTCTTGGCGTTGATCAATCACTGAGGGATGCGTCATGCATTCGACTTCATTAAGCATCGTTTGGAGTGTCTGATTGCATTATGATTGGGTGCATTTACAATGATTCGCGGTGGCCTACCGATGTATTGCGCCGACCCCTGAGGGGAGGAAGGCTTGGTGGGTCACGTGCGCTGAGATCGATTTCACGTGTGTGTTACAGAGCACCTTCGTCCACTGCGCCAAACGCTCCTCCCTCTCTGCTAAGCATAGAAACAAAAAACTTTGAAAAAAGCAAAAATACGAGGAAAAATGAGTATATAGGCATCTGTAGTTTTTGCCTTCCTTCTTCTTCTTCTTGATTTCTTTTCTATTTTAGAAACGACGGTTAATGATCTCATTCACCTATTTATTCACTCATTCACCATTATGATTTCGTATCCTTATTAGAGCCATAAGGAGCAAAGGTCCTAAGAGTCGTTGAAATGCTCACCTCATCCAATTCAACTGTAAAGTTTCTCTCCTTGAAATCTACATCTGCCAATTCCAACCGTCGAGCGATGAATCTGTTGAAAGTTTTCGCTACTATTGTTATTCATACTTCACTAGCTATTTCCTCTATACAACCACAATGGTGCTGAGATGCTTGCAAAACTTCGGACGGCAGGTGTCTGCGGTGGGGAACGAACGCGCCATTATCCTTTTCGGGGACTAACTTGTTCACCACCACATCACGCGGGTCCCTTGTTTCGCCTGTCTCTCAGCTAGTTATATCAATCATTGCCATATTTCTTCTATAGTTTCTTTTCGTGTAGAAATGTCATAGACGAACGTCAAAGAAAAAATAGATGGAATATTTCAGCCCAAATATGACAAGTCATAAAATGTCTTCAAACAGCCAAAACTGGTCTTAAACCTGTTTTCTTTATCTCGGATTGCCTTGAAATCTAATAATTATTGTTTAAGTGAAGTGTTATTTAGAGATCCGACGTCAAATGAGAGAGTGTTTTTTAAGCTTAGGCTTAAAAATGTTTATTTAGGTAATAAAGAAGTATGAATATCGATCGTGTTAGAATTGATAGTTAACCAACTTTCGGCGCTGATCGAATGGTATCGACGAGAGCATCCATGACATGATGCTACCAAATGATATCACCGCCAACAGAGTATACCAGAGCCAGAGCAGAAGGAATATCTAAATTCGGTTAATTATTCTCTTCTTTTAACAACTCCCAGGATCGACTTTCTCTTAACCTCGGCATTGGAATATGAATGTGTCGTTTTCTTGTTCAGCAATCGCGAGGTTTTTAAACAGCATACATTTACTTCCATAAAAACACAATACAATACAACGCTAGCTGACGTTTAGGCAGTATCGCCTTCTTCAGAGCCGCTTTTTCGTGACTTCCAATGAGGAAGTTTAGAACAGCTGATTATGGTCGCATGTGGTTCTCTAAACTTCCTCATTGGAAGTCACGAAAAAGCGGCTCTGAAGAAGGCGATACTGCCGAAACGTCAGCTAGCGTTGTATTGTATTGTGTTTTTATGGAAGTAAATGTATGCTGTTTAAAAACCTCGCGATTGCTGAACAAGAAAACGACACATTCATATTCTCTTCTTTCTCTTTTCTATCACCGTTCAAATCGAATACATTCTTCCCACTCTTCCGCCCAGTTTCCATCTTGATCTCTTTCGTAGCGTAACATATGCAAAATGTGTAATAGAAACAGGGACTTTGAGCTTTATCGTGAGGTTGATATAAGCTGTGGACTAGAATAGTTTTGTTTACGACTGAAAAAAGAAGATTACTCTAAGAATCTGGTTAGAAACATAAAAAGACAGTGTTCAGGATTGGTAAAATCTTCAGGGTTGCGCTATGCATTCGACTCCATTCGTAGCATCGTCGAGGTGATTAAATGTATACGTGACCTACACAATAATTTTTGTGGGATCCTCATATAACAAGTCGGCATTTTGGTACTCCTTAACTATAGTGTATGATCAATTTCTTAAGCGCCTAGGTATGGAAGGAGGATTCGCCCAGTTCGCGGGATCGAACCAACGATGATGTATGCACTGCACGGCATGCTTAACCCATGTGATACAAACCTTATAATAAATACCATGAAAAAAATAAGCAGGTATTGATTCCTTAAACATGCTAATAGCTGACGACCATAAATCGGTACATGAATTCAGGGCCAAAATGCCACCATGAAGGATTGTTTAACAATATCACCTAGACTGCGAAATATAACTTCAATGATGCTGAGATATTTGCAAAACTCCGGACCGCAGGTGTATGCGGTGAGTAACGAACGTGCTATTGTCTTTCCGGGAGTAACGCGTGCACCACCACACCATGCGAATCCTTCGTTTCGCCTTTCTCTCAGCTAGTTCTATCGATCTTTGCCACAGCAATCACCCGTCACTCCTGTATTATAAATATCCTTATCATACATTCCTGAATGTTCCTAGATAACGAACTGTGAGTGCGAGCTAGTTTCTAATAAGGTCAGAAATGGTTTGAGATTACTTACTACTTGATACTTGAACGACCTGTCATCACTGGTTGTGCGGGCCCCAGCATTATCACCATTTTTCGGAGACTTGCTGGTTAAGCATTGTGGTTTCCTGGAATCTCGAGGACAGCATGTCCAAATTCTGCCCCAGGTTTGAGATTTCTATCCAAAATCCCAAATATGATTAAACTTGCCCCAATGCAAGGCCTAAAAAGCTAACCGCGGTAGTTTTCTCCTGATGTAGGGTAAAAATAAGAAGCTTTATTTTGAAAGCATGACGTGTTCCTCAATGTGACTGCACCATTTGAGCACCTCGTCTCGCTGCAGCCAAAAACAGATATTCTTTTGCTGCTCATTATTCTCTAATAACTAGTTTGTCGTCTAAGTAAACTGAAATTGGATATTCAATTCTTAACGACTTTAGGCAGCATGTTACTTTATATGATATTCACCTTTTCGGTAAAAATGTTGATCACCAGTACACACTGGACGGTGTGTCTCTGCACTTGGCCAAGAATCCGGATCTCCATATCGCAGTATGTGACTACAGGGAAGTTTGGCGATTCCGTCCAACCTGAACACTGTAGTTTTCCTTGCTAAGCTTTAGTTTGCATTTTGCATAAACAATGGTGTGTTATTGAATTTGGAGGGTTTATCCAGAGGTCGATTTCCTTGTTACCACGTTCGAGATACGAATTCCTTAGTTGAATGGAAGGGAGTTCAACTTGTTTGTGAACGTTGTCGGATAGACCAATCCGCTGCTTGAGAACTCAGCTTGTATGTGAACGATGTCGGATTGACTAATCCACTGCGTGCTTCTTCTTTAGCCAACAAACAGAACGATTTTTAAGTTCACAAGGACAAAGGAAAGAATTCGGAACTCGAACCGAGAAGAAAGCAATCGTTCTTCTGACTATGTGGACTTCGTCCTACGGCATTTTATTAAGAGGCATACCGATGCCGGTTTAAATGCAGTAGGAAGCTTCGTTTTCCTTTATCGTCTTCAGGGAACTCGACAGAATAGGTTTAGGATAACGATCGGATGAGTAATCGCAAGAATTGTCGTCGGCCACATTGAACATTAATCGCAAGACGGGAAGTCACCAGCTTTTCGTCAAAAAGAATTAGAGAGTATCAATGGAGAAAAGTCAGAACGTTCTATCATAGTTAACTGAGAATTCTAAAGATAATTGCGCTCGTCTTTCATTCAACGAGAAGGCGGAGGTCTCTCATGCCGCTGCCGAACCCATTTGTGAACCCGAACACCTTAATGAATGAGCTTGCAAGATGTCCACACAAATAGAACTAGTGCAGGATGAGATCGTGTCATGCTAAGGATATGTGAAAAGTGGACCATGTAGCCAGTCGAGTAGGATGAAGGTGTTTTTCACATACTAAGCATCAAATTACTAGCTGTAGTTTTTTCTTCCATTCGATGACATGACATCACCAAAAACCTAAGTATATAATTAAGTAAATAACAGAAGGGTTGACAGTTGACATCTGCGAAAATCCAACAACAGCATGGTGAATTTTGGCACTTATTCCTACACAGTTCCACTCAACTGAAATGTCGTTAGAAACTGTACATCGTTGAGCTTCATATGGGCTGGGCATTTATACACCTACTTCTGTGCTTTATTCAATAAAATGGTAAAATCTACGACGAGTGTATTTTCTAGAAAACTTCTGATAACCAATGGCTGATAACAAAGTGGCATTGATAATAAAGATTATAGAAGAAAATGATCCATTTCGGTGCACTCGTGAAGTGTATTCTACTCTTCTAGGCATCGTAGAAGTGATGTGGTCTAAGCGACAACTTATGAAGCTTATAAACCTTTAAAATAAATGTTTTTATCCTACAGGAAAAGCTTCGTTTAATGTGCAGACTATGGAAGGATGAGAGACTTTGTTAGACCTCAGCGTGGGATCGAACGAGTGCAAGGTAAATCAAATAACTGCGCCACGAACGCCTGGAGAGGTAGCTTTGAAACTAAAATGTTCTCGACGTTGCTCAATCACTGGCAGCGTTATAAGAAGTAGAATTCTTCCATGAAGGTAGAATTAAAATGGATCTTCGTGGGAGGAATATGATGGTGAAAAACAAGTAGAAAATCGGGCTAACGCCATCATCATGGAGAACGACCCATTCAAAGTCGTTGTTTACCATTTCACATCGGACCACCTTTTTGTAGTAGCCCACGAATTATATGGATCACCTAAAGATTTCTCTGTAAACACCCGCTTCCCCAAAACGAAAGATATTTTTTAAAAAATCATCAGTGCTTGGATAAAAATAATGACCACCTTGTCCTGTGACGAGGTCCCATAAAATTCCATAGCCATAGAAACCTTGCGAATTCGTTTCGAGAAATTGGCTAAGTAGAAACATCTGAAAATTTGTTTTACATAACAACATCGTAAAACCCCAAACGTCTACTCGCTTTTTTAGAATTTTTAAAAATTTTATTGCAAGTTCTTCGAAAATTCGAATCGATTTTCCAAAAAAATTGGTTGAAAAGCCGAAGTGTCAACATAAATAAAAGGATAGAAACCTCGGCGTTGATCTCCTGAGCGATGCACGTTGCACTCGACTTCGTTAAGCATCGCTGGAGGTGATTGAATGCATATCTGGCCTTTACAATAACTCGCGGTGGCCTACAGATGTATCGAACTGGTGTTGTTATCCTCCCAGTCAAGTCTGGTACCAATTTGCCGACCCCAGAGAGATGAAACGCTTGGTGAGCTACTGGCGCCTCCGACAAGTGCGCCACACACGCTCTTAGGTATCAGCATACTCTGGTTAAATCTCGTCGTGTAGATTTTTGGTTGTTGATGATTGGCTTTTACTTGCTTAGTCAGTTGTGGTGGTAAATTTGTTCCTTCATTAAACCTTATGTAGAAAAAGAACGACAATTTTTATCAAAATGAAGTTTAGAAATCCCTAACGCTTACCTGTACTAGTACATTTATGAGAAAGAGTAGTTTGATTCCCAGGTAGAGATAGGTTAAATAGGCCTCGTAGAAACGAAGATTTAAGAACTTTAACATTCTGAACAGGATAGTGTAGAATTAAAATCACATTAGCTCAAACTGTATTTTACTTAATAAATTCACTTGGATTTTTATCTTTTTTCGTCTTTCTCTCTTCACTTTCTCACTATTCTTAACCTACTCTCTCTCTTCTTCTTCTAGTCATTTCACACATTTCACACAGTAATCCTTAACTGATTCTCTCCACAGACATACTCTCATTAATCCTTGCGTTCCTTTTCACTTCTCTTTTTCCTTTTATTCGCTTTCTCATACTCCATTTTTCTCTCTCACTTTTATAAGTAAGACCTATTTCTTATGAAAATCTCGCTCCTTTTCCGCGCACGACCGACTGTAATTATAACAGTGTCTTCCGTTATTTCCTTTATTAATTCGATATCTATCACTGGAATAATTTCAGAGCACCGGGCGAAAGTTTAAAAGAGAACACTTAGGTTATAAGAAATGCTATCTGGCATAACATTTTAGCGTCATATTTGCCAGAATGCTCGTGAGCTTACTTATGATGATAGGGATGTACAGATCCGAAACGAAATCGATGATTGAAGACAGATGCCAAATGCATCGCCAAGCCGTTGATGTTTGCTCGACGAGAAGCTATAATTTTAGAATTTAACTACAGTACGATAGGATAGATGAAGTATAGCATGCAAAACAGGCCACTACAAAGAAATGAGGTTAAGGTAATTAGGAGGTAATGTGGTGCCGGAGAAACACCGGTATGAAGAAGTCTTGCCACTAAGGAATAGGCAAACTGTTACCTGAAGTAGTCATAAAACTTCAATTTAAAATGTTCTGCCATTTTGCTATTAATCGGACTACTGCATCGAAGATCGGGCAGTTGAATACTCCCAGAAAGCGTTACTCTCTACTCTCGTTGACGGATCCCAGTGGAAAGGCAAAGAAACTCCTTTCCATTCATGAAAATCGGTTATAGCCTGCAGTAGCAATTTGCGAAAGATTATCACGGCTATAATGGTACCCAAAAAAATCAGCTCGACCAAAGCTCCAATGTTGTGGTAGAAGCACTTTTTGTTGTCAGAACAAATTTAGAACAGCATTACATCTCAGCGAATCGTAGTGTCCGACAGCTGTACTACGTTCGATTTCTCTTTCCACCACTCCAAGCAGTAGCCAAACCAGGAAATGTGGAGTGCAATTGTAAAAAACTTGCTTCATTTTAACAAAAAAGTGCTACTAGAAATTCAACAATAACAAGCGATTCAGGTCCAAAACTCATCAAGAGGGAACTATTGGCCTTCAGAGCGCCTTTATAATAAAAAAGACAAGGAAGATTCCATGCTCAGTTTTTAATACTATGGTTCTAGCGCTGATGCCGGCCTTAGAAACTCGTGTGCTATAAAAAGAGAACGAGTGTTCAATGAACATTATTGAAGGCAGTAAGGAGAAGATGATTTCTGAGCATCTGTTGTAATGCCTACAAGACAGAGAACGCGAAATTCTTACCAATGTTAACGAACAGAAAAAAGGGAGAGGGAGAGAGGTGAAGTGATAAAGAGAATGAGAGAGAGTCGCATGTCTGGCTATGTCATTCGCAGTGGAGAAACCACGGGCCCGAGTAAGTTTTCATCACTAAGGCATTGAAAAATATGTTCTTTATGTGTACCATGTAAGCACAACTCAGTGCACAACTTTGGCATGTGACTGATCTGGACGGAGACTTTACTGGGGTTTGTTCGAGTTGTCCTATCATTAGCGGAAAAACGAATGATTAAGACGACAAGGTGATTCCGAGTGATCCTTCATAATTCGTGGCAACAATTTACTAACATGCTTCTGAGGGTTTGATGAGAGATAACAGAAAAGGACGCAGTGCAAAACACAGAACGAAAAATTCGTACCAAGGGGCCCCAAAGAAAAAAAGCAGAAAGCAATACAGTACATATAATAGTCATTACTATGGTAAGCACAGAAACGCGGTTGGAGCAGCGGTCGGAGGCGCCCTGCAATACACACGTGGAATCGATCTATGCGATCATGGCCCATCAAGCCTTCCAACCCTCCGGGGTCGCCAAATTGGTACCAGACTTGTGTGGGAGGATAGTAGCACTGGCTCAATACATTGCTGGCCACCGCTAGCCATTTTAATGCAACGCACTTCGCCTATTTTCCCGTTTCCTCCATGTTTGCAGGGTTTTGGACATAGCATTTTCAAGGGCACAAGTTGGGTAACCGAAATTCTTTTCTGGTGAACAAAGAGTATACCAGTTTCTACTTGTTTCATATTTTAGTTTTCTATTAGCTCTCCTGATTAGCACTACCGTATCTTAAAATTTCTCTAGTTGTAACATTGCTTAACCCATAACGCCGTGTATGGACACCATAGTTTACATATGCGTTTGGACCATGGGACCGTATGGACACCATAACGTTCATCAGAGTCTGGACCAACGGGCTGTGTTCACATTTCTTCGATAGCCAATTGGAAGCAGATCGAAGCAGTAGTGGTGAGATCAATAAAATCATTCTCTACACTTGATGGTTTACAAAAAAATTTTTTTCGAAAAAGTTTACTAACCAGTGATACGACCAACACTTAACTTTTATTTCGTTCTAATCACCATAGTCATTGTATGGAATACGCAGGTATAAAAAATACCGAAACAAGCTCAGAATAGCGTGCGAGATATTCCCAAGTGCTGACAGCTATGTATTCACATAATGGGTGATAGTAACACGCAATAAATACTTGGATGCTTGGATGGCCCGTCCTCACTGGTTGTGGGGAACCCAGGAAAATCTCCATTCTTTCGGAGTTTTGCTGGTCTAGTCATTGTGGTTTTCTGATGTCCTGAGGTCGGTCAAGCCAAACTTCCCCAAGTCGTCGTCACCACATTCAGTAGCCGCCCTTGTGGATCAGAGGGAGATTTGCCACCATGCAACTAGTTTGATACCAGGAGGGTGGTGGATCCTGGTATTGCTTTACTCTTAGCTAGGCTTCCTGATGGAAACACCAGACTCCTTCTTAGCTTAGGAGACCCTACTAAGGGATGAATCTCCCCGCTGTACCTCGCAGTCCAACACTCAGAAACATCTGCTAGTCACGATGAAGCGGTGAACGGTTAGGAGAAACACACAATAAATCGAAGCATACATATCATTCATGTCCATGAAAAAATAGAGAGAGTCCGTTCTACAGTTTTTGCCATGCTCATACCCTTAGGGCACTATAATTCTAGAAGAATTATTTTTATTGTTAAAAACCACAAAGTGTTCATCCGACGAAAAATTGCTCGTAATCGGTTGGGAAAGCCACGCTAAGCATTTTGCGTCCGTTATTGGTTAGAAATCACTGGTTGTAAAAAACAACTCCTACCTGGTTGCACGTTCGATTTATCGTTAGCGAAACTCATAATATCCTTTAGTCTGATACCTAAAAACCGGCTAACATTTGAAACGTTTGCAAACTCTAAATAAATTTCCATTCACAAATAAAACTGTAGAAAGCTAGACGTACAGTACCTGACTTGTCGTAAAGAAGTCTCCAAAGCAGACAAGGTGAGTAGAACATAAAAGCTACAATTACCAAAAAGAATGGTACCCATTGATAGTAGGAAACCTAAAATGGAATTCATAGCTGTATTTATAAAAATATTTCCATTAATGTGTAGCCTCGTAACAATTTTTATGAAAGCTATTTCTTCTTTAGGGTTAGGCTCACTCGTGAGCAGCCCATTTCATAATTGTTATGTGGATTACATAGGATAATTTTACTACATTGAGCCAGTTCTTGGGTGTCGTACTGCTATGTACAGTGGAGAATTCATTCCCTGGCAGGGTCTCCTTTGTTGAGAATGAGTCTGGCGTTTCAGTCAGGAGGCCGAGCTAAGAGTAAACCAATACCAAGATCCACCACCGTCGTGGTATCAAAGTCGCATGGTAGTAAATTTCCCTCTGATCCACAAGGGCTGCAACTGCCCGTGATGGTGAAGACCTGGCCAGGCTTTGACTAGACTAACCTCGGAATTCCAGAAAACCACAATGGCTTAACCAGCAAATCTCCGAAAAATGGTGATGGTGGGGCCCGCACAACTAATAAGGACAGGTCATTCAAGTATCAAGTAAGTAATTTTACTAGAAGGAACATCTTCTGCATCTCTGGAAGGATCGTATTAAGGTCACCTAGTTCGGACTAAAGCAGTAACAGTAGACCTTCTAGACACTTTCTTTTTGATGTCAGTAGCGTTGAATTTTGAAAACGGAAACAAAAGATTGAAACACGAAGCGTTAAACACATTCATAGCTTTAATCCTTTGATGAGGCGTTATGTTTTCGACTGTATTCATATGATTACAGGGGTAGTAAAGTGTTTAGCGTGTACTGTGAGTTTCCGTGGCCAGTCGATGCGACAAGACAGTGTTTTTATCCCTCTAGATAAATCTAGCACCAATTTACCAAGTCCAGAGGAATGGAGGACTAAGGCAGTGGTGTCTAACCGAAAACAATTGATACATTGCAATTCACAACAACTGCGCTACATTAACCATAAAAAACAATTAATTAGTGTCATAACAGTAACCGCACTCAATGATGAACGTTTATCACTTCTAATTATTGTCAAAAATAGGCTCTAACCGAGTACGGAAACTTCCGCCAATGAGGAAAACGGTAATTGTTGCACTCGTCCTTTGTCAATCTTCGTTCTTGATAAAAAATATGTACTGTTCTATGGTGCATGGATTGTATGTACCTAGTTATATAAGCTGAGTCTCCAAATGACACACGTTGACTGCTTCTGACGAAACACTTACAAATTCAAAATTGCACTCAGACTCAAGAAGGTCTCCTTTTTGATTATGGTCAATTTGGGTTTTTGGGTTGCAAGCTTTGAATTGGTGAAGACACCTATATTTAGTTGACGTGTTTTCGAATTGCTTCAAGCACGTTGCCTCAACAGAAACTGAAGACCTGATAGAAGCTTTTGACGTCTGGATGCAGTGTGTAGGGTCCACGACTCACCTTCTTTCGCACTGGCTATAGTACTTTCCTAATCAGCACTCAATCTCTAGGACACCTAAGATATCATGGCGGTATACATTGGCGGTATAGATTTGACCTGAGGTTGAAAAGAGAAATATCTCGCAAGTACAGTTGTTTCTTGTCTATTAAAGTTTACATATCATCTTTGAATTTCCATCTTTCGAGTCCGTCATCAACCAAGGGTCTGAACAACATTAACTGAGAGGAATCGATATGCATACCAAAAAAAACGCTAGTCTAATGGCGAAAAAATCACTAAAAAATTTCAAGAAAGATAGGCATAATTACTGTTGGAAAGAAGCCGTTAATGTCTCTCATCTTTCTCATAACTGTTAACATTACTGCAGTTGCCCCTTAGTCTTGAGTTCGTTGCAAGTATGTAGCTAGTCACACCACGGAACAATTCTATGGCCGTTTAATAACGATGGTGCACAATCAAGTAAGTGGGCTATACCTTATACCATCTATTGGTTTAAAAGCATGGAATCAAATTCTTAAACACCTCTTGAATCATGAGCTATATTGACGGCAAAAGAAAAGTTCTAATTCCGACTGGTAGTTTACATTGCTGAGCAGTGTTGCATTTCGATGAGCTCTCGAAAGCAATGTCAGGACTTTCTAAGACGATTACCAATTGAGAGCTAGTATCTTTGTTGTTGCCAGAATGATAGCAAGTTCTGGTACTCGCAAACCATGTGGGAGAAGAACTCCCCTTCTACTGATCAAAGTTCGACAGTGGGATCACCTCAAGCGGGTTCAGGCGGTAACGTACTGGAATGAATACTGAGAATAGGCATTTGAGAATTTTTATACCCAGGATGAGAGATTACATTAGTTCGTGAGTAAATAGAAAAAAGTCAACTATATGCGCCTTATTAGATTACCTACCATTGTCTTGCCTCGATCCTCTACATTCGGTAAATTCACATCATCAAAAGGGGCGAAGTAAGTATTACGAGCCCAGCAGTACATTTCTGAAATATTGTAATTTCATTCACCATACATAGTATGAATGCCTTACTAGTGTCGTTTCGTAGTATTCTTTGAAATATTTGGTGTTAAAGCATAAACGAAGAATAAAGCTCTCGGCGTTGATCAATCCCTGAGGGGTGCGCCATCTACTCGACTTCATTAAGCATCGTTGGAGGTGATTAAATGCATATCTGGTCTTTACAATGACGCGCGGTGAGCTATCGATGTATCTAGCCTGTGGTGCTATTCTCCGAGACAAGTCTGGTCCCAATTTGCCGACCCCGGGGGAATGGAAGGCTTGGTGGGCCATGGGCGCAGGAATCGATTCCACGTGTGTGTTGCCGGGCGCCTCCGACCACTGCGACACACACGTCCTTATTTAGTATTAGTAGGTATAATGAATGTGGTTAGTTACTAAGCGAAATACAACCACAACGTTGCTGAGATATTTGCAAAACTCTGGACCGCAGGTGTCTATGGTCGGGAACGAACGCGCTATTATCCTTTCCGGGGAGTAACGCGTTCACCTGCGGTCCAGAATGTGGTTAGTATTGGTGAACACGGGTAGTAAATGTTTCAATGTTTATTGCTCCAGTTCTTATTTGCTACCTACTCTTTTCATGGCAGAGTCCGATATGAGATACAACCACAAGGATGCCGTGATAGTAACAAAACTCAGGACCGAATGTGTGCTTCGAACCATGAATTAGTCTCACCGAGAGTTCACGTGCTGTTCACCACGAAAGCCGAGAGCCTTGCTTTGCGTTTCTCTCAGCTATGTTTTTAATCTAACGGTGCTATCAGAAATCACCCGTCAACGGGAACGATCTAGAGAGCACAGATAGGCACTGAGCCAAGTTAAGCTGAAGCTGTAGTCTAAATCACAATGCTTTGACTTATTTTCTACCCATTCTTCGCCGAATTTCGGACCGCATCCTGCCATTTAAAAGAATGGGTAGTGAATAAGGACTAAAACTTTGTGATTTCAACTATAGCTTTAGCTTAAGTGGGTTAAGTGTAGATTTGTGTTATATAGATCATTGTAGTAGAGAGCACGTGCAACCCTGGTAAAAGGACGAAAAGAAGAAAGCACTCGGTGTTAATCTATTTCTGAGGCATGCGCTATGCATTCAACTTTATTAAAAATCTTTGGAGGCGACTGAATGTATATTTAGTCTTTAGAGGAATTCGCGGTGGCGGGAGCGGGTCAAAGTCGTGTACATTTCAAGGCGCCTCTAGCCACTGTGCTACGCGCGCCCAAGCAAAAACTCCAAATCACTGGTGTCTGCGGTGGAGACCGAACACGCTATTACCCTTTCCGAGACTAATGCGTTCAACACCACCCTATGTTAGTCCTTGTTGTATCACCTGTATCACCTGTAGATCCGGTGATCGTCGAGTGACTCGAGCGGGCGCTAGTAAATTTCCCACTTTTCCCTGTCGCGTGCAAGAGCAGCCCAGTGGGTTATGCTCACTCTAGGAACTCGTCGAGCATCATATCTTTCTTCAAGGGACTTTGTGAAGAACTCTGACCATCGGGTTAGTGGTCTTCCTGCAGTACGTTTGACATCCCGAGGAATCCAGTCACTGACGGATCTTGTCCATCGGTTGTCATTCATAGGCGTTACGTGTTCGGCCCACCTTATCTTCGACTCTTTGGCGTACAGAACGGCATCTTTGACTTTTGATCGTTAACGCAGATCGGAGCTTCGGATCCTATCCCTCACTTTTGTGGAATGAGATACTCCTAGTATCGTTCTTTCGACTGCGCGTTCGATAACGCTGAGTGACCTTTCATCATGCTAACGCAGCGACCCGATTTCTGACGCATAAATTAGAGCAGGAAGTACCGTTGAGTCGAAAAGGTAGGCACGGAGTCGGTTGTTCCTTGTTTTCTTCACTACATCCTTGATGCTCTTGAAAGCACCCCAAGCCGCTCGTTTCCATCTGCTCAACTCTGGAGCTAAATCGCTCAACATGTTGATTGCCCCACCTAGACAGATATAACTGGAGCATTCAAAGATCTTCGTTTCGTTGAGCGTGTATAGGGCATGGGAAACCAATCCGTTCTTCATGAACATCGTTTTTGTGAGATTTAATCGAAGGCCAATCTTTCCACAGGCTTTATCAAAGTCGTCAAGCATACGATCCGCTTGGCTAATATTTGGTGTTAGAAGGACGATGTAATCAGCAAAGCCAAGATGGTGTAACTGCCGACCATCGATTTTCACTTCCATATTATCCCATTCCGATGTTCGCATGACGTTCTGGAGGGTGGCGGTAAATAATTTTGGCGAGATGGTATCGCCTTGCCCAGCTCCTCTTTTTACGTCAATGTTAATATCGTTGTAGAATGGTGATATCTGGTTCCGATTAGTTAATTCTCTCATCGAAAGGGATAGTATTACATAATGGTAACCAGCAGCTTTTGTAATGTGGATGACACGATTTTCACTTAGTGACATCGATGAAAACGGTATTGCCACACCTTGATGCCTCATCTGTTTCCATCTATTCCATGTAGTGCTTAGTCCAGCTTAGAAACCTTAGAAACCTTAGACCATGACCTTAGAAAAACAGCAATATCTCATTGTAACTGTAGTAAAGAAACTCGTATGTTGTAATTGCTTTTTTCTCTATCTCTCTTTTGATATCCTAATGACAATTACGAACGAGACCAACGAGTCAATTTTTCTGTCACAATGTGCCGTAAATTTCTTATAATCTTGTTCAGGCATAAAAACCTAGGAAGAAAAGCATATATCTAGATTAGACAGGAGGTACGAAGAGTAAAATTACGCGCCATTCTATACCTTAGTGTGAGTCTAATAACTCCTCTTCTTTTGCAATAAGACCGTTCATCTGGTAATCATCAACAAATCTTCCTCATATGGGATTTGCTGATGATGAATAAGCGGCTTGAACGCCAACCTAAACTAACAAACCCGTTTTCGCTGTTATGCTTAGAGTTCAGAGGACACCCGGCCCTTTCCTTGTTGCTTACTCATGTATTGGTGCACTCTTATTTACAAAGTTTGCGTCCTGGACGTCGATTCTGCCACAATCCTACAAGCAAGTGATCGGGAGGTGAATGAGAGGTGGTCCGGGCTTGCACTCAACACGTAAGACCCACGTTTACTTTAGAAGAATCTAGCAAGACTATCAAGGGCTTCTCAGATTGCCTCCATCTCAACTGAATCAAAGGCCCTCTGTAAATCGATGAAAGTGAGACAGAGCGGTCTTTTGTACTCTCGCGATACTTCAGTGAGCCGTGTTACCGTGTGGATGTGGTTCACCGTATTAAATCCTCTTCGAAACCCTGCTTGCTCACATGGCTGTCCTTCGTCTAGTGTTCTGTCAACCCTGTTTAGGATGACTCGAGTGAAAAGTTTGTATGACGACAGACAGCAAGCAGATTGGGCGATAGTTGCCGATATCGTGCAGGTCACCCTTCTTAAACAATAGCACGGTCTTGCTGGTCTTCCACTGAATGGGACTTTGAATTCGGACAGGTGACGTGTGAAGAGCCGAGCCAATGTGTTTACGAGGACTAGCGGAAGGTTCTCCAGGTGTTCTGGTCTTGTCCTGTCCGGACCTCATGCTGTTCGATTCTTCACCAACGAAATGGCATGTCCGATTGCGGAAGGGAGAACCGGTGGCTCAACATGTCCATTCTCCCTTATTTCATACGACGGAATGTGGGCGTGGTTATCGAAGAGATCCGAGTAGTATTCGTGAATGATTTTCTCCATTGCCTTTCTGGATTCTGTAACTGTTCCATCTGGGCACCGGAGTGCAATCATTTTGGTCTTGTAATTGGCGAAGCTACGGTGGGCCCCGCCAATGCTTTTTCCAGCCTCTGCAGCTTCGACCATCACCGCTGCTCTTCTCTCTTTAAGATCTTCTTTTATTGTCTGTCTGCATTGTTCTGCGAGTTCGCACTTTAGTTCGGGGTTGTCTGCAGCTGGTACGATTCCAGGCTGGCTTATCAGCTCGAGCGTTTCTGGAGAGAAACGTCTCTTGGTGCCTTTCGAACTCTCAGATTTCATAGCGCTAACGTGAAGATGTTTAATGAGCCGATCGTATTCTTCGTCGATGTTATCGACAACGGCATCTTCCCATTAACCGATTAATGAATTGAATAAATCCCAGTTTACGGTGGTTTTGGGACTTCGGTTTTTGAATTTAGCGGCATTTCTCCTTTCCGTGAGAAATAGAATCTTGCGCGAAGGAGACGATGGTCTGATCCCGTGTAGAATTTTGGGACAACAGCGACATCGGTTAGGTGAAAGCTTCCATTTACTATTATGTGGTCTACTTCGTTATGGTATACTCCATTGAGAAACTCCCACGTCCAGCGTTGAAGGTGGCGTTTCTGGAATTGCGAGTTACCATGGATTGTCTTGTTCGCCATGATAAACTTAGATAGCTCAGATAGCCGCTCACCCTGTTCGTCCCATTCTAATCCGTGGGTCCCAATGTGATGTTCTTCAGAGCTTCTTCTTGGTCCAATCTTGGCGTTGAAATCTCCAATGATGACCTTGAAGAATATGTGGTCTTCTCTGGAGAACTTCTCCAAGTCCACATAGAACGCTTCGACTTCTTCTTCGTCATAGTTTGATGTCGGCGCGTAAACGACGAGGATTATCAAAGCTGATTCTGATCCACATCTCCTTAATCACAAATGTCTGAATCGGGTTGTTAGTTGTTCGAATGAATCGATGTTCATGGACATACTCGTGCTGACGAGAACGCCGACTCCTCAACTGTCGCATTTTCCGAGGAACAGTTCTTCTCCGGTGTCAAAGACGGCGTTGAAAAACCGGAATCTTCTCGTTTCGACCAGGTCGATGACGTCATACCTTATCCTTCTTGCTTGCATGAGCAAGTCTTCTATCGAAGACTCCGATGGAGGTGTATGTGCATTGAAGGTACAGATCGTCACCATAGTTCCTTGAAATCCAGGCAGCTTCCATTGGTCCTGAGATTTTAGCAGCCTCTCCGTACTCGTCCTACCCAACGCTGAAGAATTGGGGGCTCTTTCGGAGTCAGGGAAATGAGGCTCCTTTATTTTACTGTGTTTAGCATTTTGATACCCACGTATAGCTTGCTGTCCTCTGAACGTGGGGGCTCGGTATACTCACGGGAAGCTTGCCAGGCTCTCTCAGAGTGGACATGGAGCTTATTTGTTGGAAGCGACTCCTAATCGCCTCCCATATAAATTCCAGTCACTTGATTGCAGGGCTTTGGCCGAATTGACTCGTAGAATACAATCCGCATAAGCATGAACGCACCCACACACGCATGCATGAATACGCCTAGCAGATACAGAAAGTATGTGCCAAATCATCGTAGCAGAAACGGAGTCTATCCTCTGGATCCTCCTGCGTCTGAAGGAAGCAAAGGTCGCTTTTGGTTCACGATTAACCACTTATCCGCCGCCTGGGGACGCGCCACGTAGCCTCGTGACTAACCGGCTTGAGATCCCTCATATGAGTGAAATTCGTAGAGAGCCATAATGGTGGGTACGCAACCGAGGTTTTCCTCACATCTCAGCAAATTTGTGGCTGCATTACTTTTTTATATTTTGCATTGGCTTAGGATCTATTGCTATAATAGTGTTAATACTAATGGTAATAACAACCATTAATAATAAATAGTGATAACAACGATAAGTTTACGGGGGCCGGCGGAAAAAGAGATTGCGAAAAACTGTTTTGCTTTCTATTTTAAACCTACTGTTATGTTCTTTTTTACGTGTATGTTATGTAGACAGAAATATTAATCTCATAGACGGCACGTCGTAGCACAGCGGTTAGATGTGCTCTAAATACATATTTAGTCCAAGGTTCGAGCTTTCGTCCAGGACTGAGCAAGCTTTTCGCCCTCCGGTATCTGCAAGTTGGGAACAGACGTGTGTGGGAGGATAGCAGCACTGATTCCATACATCGATAGGTCATCGCCAATCATTGTATAGTCCAAACAAGCATTCGGTCACTTCTATCGATGCCTAATGAAGTCGAGTGCATGGAGCTTCTCTCGGGCATTGATCAACGCCGAGAGCTTTATCCTTTATCGCTGCTCCCAACAGACAGGTGACGTAATTACAAGTAACAGAATGGGAAAAATAAAATAGCTAGACGTTGAAAATAATTTATTTGAATGTGAGTTTTCATTGCAGAAATTCTTCTAAAGGATACCGGCGTAGTCCTCCCAACTTTTTTTGTACTCAGCAGGTAGCCAACATTCAATCGGTCGTCCACCGAACATTTTCAAGCTGACCAACACCTGAAACTATGGTGACTCTGGTGTTAATCGTGACCACAATAGCAAACCTGAATGGAGTAAACCCAAGGTTTAAAAATGAGCGATCCTCTTTAGAATAAAGCTTTTTTTAGATAATAATTTTTATGTGCCGCTTTCTTGTTCAGCAATCGCGAGGTTTTTAAACAGCATACATTTACTTCCATGGAAAAACACAATACAATACAACACTAGCAGACGTTTCGGCAGTATCGCCTTCTTCAGAGCCTGGAAGGGTATATTGATATACAATCTACTAGGCCAAACGCTTCAATGACACTTACAAAAAGACAAAAAACTCTTTGGTAATTACATGATCAACAGCTTCTGGAAAAACCCCACCGCTTTTTCGTGACTTCCAATGAGGAAGTTGGCATTTCAACTATCGCTACCGATTCCTTTAGACCTGTCCTTCTTAAGCATCGTTTTATAGCTACGCTTATTTCATCGTTTATAAAAGGCCACATAAACGGGACTTTCTTTTGGCCAAGTGCTTCGCGTGGGCGCGTCGTTCTCCTTGTAAACTTATCTCGTGGGGTTACTATTTCGTAGCCATTGGAGATGACTATTTGCTGGTGGGGTTACTATTTCGTAGCCATTGGAGATGACTATTTGCCGAGCCAAGTCGCGCGATTCTTCCTTTAGTTCCCTGGTAGGTGATACCAACTTATGTGTTTTAATAAGTAGGTATAAGACGGGACATGTTGGTCTATCGATTTTAAAGTGCGAAATTACCGATGATTTTAAACCCGCAGCCTTTGCCACAGTGACCCATTGATTGTGTAGCTTTCAGTATTGACTTTTATATTCCTTTTCAGAGGATGGGCGATAGAGGGTAGCATCACTAAGAAGTTCCTCTGTTGTCTCAACATCCAGCTGGCGAGGGATAACTACGAACTCTCCTCCTCTATTACTAACAGATAATCTTATTGTTTTCGAGTTCATTAATTCTCTATTTTCCCGCATGCCACATTTTTGTGCGGCTGTAAGGTTAGCGATAAACTTTCTATCGCCGTAGTGATTAAGAGTCTTGAGAACGCCGTCCGAAAACACGCGGAATTTTATGCCAACTCCATGGTTAGGGTCCTGCTGTCTCAAAAACGTTTTAGAGAAAGGAGATGGTGGTAGTGCCGCCGCCTCTCGATTTTTATCTCTATTTGATGTTTCCTGCTTGGCCTGATAGAGGAGTCGATCTTGAAGCTCATAAAGGTTGCATGCTGTCTTACGCAGGGTCGTTTTAGAAATGGGCTGTGATGGTGCAAAACTTGGGCCCAATTCTAATAGCGAGCGCGCATTCTCAGGTATTGTTATGCCCCCAATCACGGTGACCCTAGATTTTCTTGGTGCATTATCAACCCCATTTTGACTATTATCAGAAACGTAAGGAATTCGTTTGTGGTTGTTTCTTGAAGCTGAGCCATGTGAATTACCCTAATATATTATATATAGACCTAATATTATTGCATATCAAAGTGAGCCACCAACTTTTTTAACTATATGACCTTATAAAGTGATCTTCTTCAGCTGATACGAGGTTGGTATAGGTCTTCGCTGTCGTTGTCGTTGTTGTTGGTGTCGTTGGTCGATGGCTGACGTTTCGGCGATTTCGCCTTACTCGGAGCCGTGATGTTACGGCTGATCCACCAACTATTCTCCTCCAAAGGCAATCCTCCAAATACAAAGCACAAAAATGTTCCTTCGTTGCACACTTCTTCATTATGGCAAACATCTCGTTCTGCTTGCTTCGTAGTGCAGCTTGAAGTAGTTCCATTTCGATGCCTCGTACTTGTTGGCTGCTCTCTGGTTGACCGCATATCTCGTGAAGTCGCTTTATAAACTTCGGCACTACTCGATGTTGAAAACAGCTGCGGACAAAGTTCATTTGGGCTTGATTTCGAGCAAATAAGGGGGTTGGTAATGGGACAGCGATTGGTACCAAGCCTTGCCATTGTGTTTATGTCTAAGATAGAAGCCCCTGTTCTCGATCTACGCCAATACTCCACTGCAGATATGTAGATGATTGTTTTGTCGTCTTCTTTACGCAGGAGGAGATGGACAAATGCTTTCAACTATTGAACGAGAAGTCCGAGTACATAAAGTTCATCCGGGAGAAACCGAGAAAAAACTGGCTTCCGTTTTTGGACGTCCAAATAAACCTATCAAGTAGCGGCTACCTGACAAAGTGGTATCGAAAGCCAAGTAACAAGAACATCGTTGTTCATTTCCTTTCTTCCCACCCTTCACACACAAAGAAGGCGGTTGTGAGAAACATGTTTCGAACAGCCACCTCTGTGTGCACTACGAAGGAACTAAAGGAAGAATCGCGCGACTTGGCTCGGCAAATAGTCATCTCCAATGGCTACGAAATAGTAACCCCACGAGATAAGTTTAGAAGGCGAGCGGCGCGCCCAAGCGAAACACTTGGCCAAAAGAAGGTCCCATTTATGTTGCTTTTTATAAGCGATGAGCTAAGCGCAGCTATAAAACGATGCTTAAGAAGGGCAGGTCTAGAGGAATCGATAGCGATAGTTGAAATACCACCGGCTACTCTACGTCGCCAATTAGTTCGCAACCGCCTGTATGACCGTCTGTGTGAAGAAACAAATTGCGTAATTTTCCCTTACGGCAGGGACGGTGATTGCATGAGTTCAGGTACGATATACCTGGTCTCTTGTAACAATTGCGGAGATGAATATATTGGCGAAACGGGCAGACCTTTGTGTAACCGTATAAAAGAACACTTAGATGGCAAACGAAAACTAAGACGAAGTACCCCACTAGGCACGCATAGGATACAAAAGCATAGCGGAGACGATTCTGAAGTAAAAGTCAATATCCTTGCACAGGAGTCCAAAACACCAACGCGAAAACTCCTAGAGGCTTTTTGGATCAATGCCAAAAACTCTACAATGAATAGCAGGGACGAATGCCCGGAGGTCATACGCGACCTGATCCCGTACGTTCGCATCGATTTTTGATGTGAGAT